TCCTGATCTTAGGGAGACAGCATGCTGTCTTTCACAATTAAGTATGATGTTAGCTCTCGATTTTTCATAGATGTCCTTGGTTAAGTTGAGGAAGTTCTCTTTTATTCCTACTTTGCTGAGTTTTTTACAAGAAAATGTGTTGAATTTCGGCAAATGCTCTTTCTGCATCAATTGAGATGATCATGTAGTTTTGTTTCTTATTCTATTGAGATGGTGTATTAAATTAATGAATATGTGGTGTTAAACCAACCTGGCAAGCCTGGAATAAGTCTCACTTGGTCATGGTGTATAATTTTTGTTGTTGTTGCTGTATCCTGTTTGCTAATATTTTGGTGAGGACTTTTGCATCCGTAGGTTTCTTCTGGTTTTGTTATCAGGGTAATACTGACCTCATGGAGTGAGGTGGGAAGAATTCCCTCATTTACAATTTTACGGAATATTTTGTGAATAACTGGAATTTATTCTTCCTTAAATGTTTGGTAAAATATAGCGGTGAAAGCAGTTGGGCCTGAACTTTTCCTTGTGGATAGATTTTGTTTATGAATTCAATCACTTTGTTATTCAGATCGTCTTTGTCTTCTCCAGTTAGTTTCAATATTTTTGTGAGTGAGTTTCTAGAGATTTTTCCCATTTCATCTAAGTTATCTACTTTATTAGCACACATTGTCTGCAGTATTCATTTATAATCATTTTTATTTCTCTAAGGTCATTACTAATGTTTCCTCTTTTATTTTTGATTCTAGTCATTTGATTCTTCTCTTGTTCTTGGTCAGTCTAGCTAAGTTTGTCAATTTTGTTGATCTTTTCAAAGAAACAGCTTTTGGTTTCATTGATTTTTTTTTCTATTATTTTCTATTCACTATTGTGTTAGTTTATGTACTAACTTTTGTTCTTTTCTTCCTTCTGCTTTACATAGGTTTAGTTTGTTGTTTTTCCAGTTTTGTAGGGCGAAATGATGGGTTATTTATTTGAAATATTTCCTCTTTTTTATTGCTGGGGTTTACAGTTATAATTTCTCTCTAAGCACATTTTACCTTCATCTCATAAGTTATGGTATGTTGCGTACTTTGTCGTTTTTCTCAAAGCATCTTTAATTTCTCTTTTGATTTCTTCTTTCACTTATAGGTTATTTAGGAGTGTGCTGTTTAGTTCAATGTACTTTTGAGTTCCCCAAATTTCTTTTATTAATTGCTAATTTATTCCATCGTGGTTGGAAAATATATTTTATTATATTGTTTACAATTAATTGAGCTTATTTTATAGCCTAGAATGTGGTCTATCCTGAAGAACATTCTATGTGCAATTGAGAAGAATGTATAGTCTCCTGTTATTGGGTGAAGTATAGTATAGGTGTCTGTTAGAGCTAATTGGTTTATAGTGTTGATCAAGCCTTCTGTTTTATTTTTTATCTTCTGCCTACCTGTCCAATCCATTATTGAATGTGGGGTATTAAAGTCTCCAAATAATATTATTGAATTGTCTTATTTCTCCCTTATTTCTGTCAGTTTCTGCTCTACGTATTTTGGTGCTCTGTTATTATGAGCTTATATGTATATAATTGTTTTATCTTCCTCATGGATTTACCCTTTTTTCAGTATAAAATGTCCCTCTTTCTTTCTAGTAATGTATTTTAAAGCCTATTTTGTCTGATATTAATATAGCCACTCCACTTTTCTTGTGATTGCTGCTTGCTTAACATATCATTTTCCATTTTTCTACTTTCAGTATATTTGTATCTTAGAATCTTAAGTGCCTCTTTTCAACTGCATATAGGTGAATCTCTTTTAAAAGCCAGTCTGATGATTTCTGCCTTTTGATAGGAGTGTTTAATCCAGTCCCATTTAATGTTATATAGTTAGTTTTATGTCTGCCATTTACTTTTTGTTTTCTATAAGTCTCATGTCTTTTTGTTCATCTATTTCCCTTTACTGCTTTCTTTTTCATTAAATATTTCTGTTGCATTTTAATTTCTTTAATATTTTTATTATATTTTTGAGTATTTTTCATCGTGATTTCATAGGGTTTATCTTAGACATCTTAGCTTACCCAAATAAGTTTCAGATTTATATTAACTTAATTCCAGTGAGATATAGAAACATTATAATTTCCATGATTGTGTAATTGTGTCTTCATTACGTTTTCTCGTTTCTGCTCCATCCTGGGCATGCCTCTTTGTACTTAATACTTTCAGTCTCACAAACCTCTTGATTTATTGCTCTCTTCTTGTGGACTG